GCCGTGGCCGTGGTGCGCACAAAATGGGGTGAAAAAGGGAAAAATTGGGAAAAATGAAAAAAAAATGGGGAAAAACGGTGAAAAAATGGGGAAAATAGGGGGAAAAATGGGGAAAAAATGGGGGAAAAATGAAAATAAATGGAGATTTTGGGGTTGCCTGGGCACACCAGGGAGGGAAAATGGGGAGAAAAACGGAAAAAATGGGAAAAAATGGGGAAAAACGGTGAAAAATGGGGAAAATAGGGGGAAAAATGGGGGAGATTGGGTGAAAAATGGGGGGAAAATGAGAAAAAATTGGGGAAAATGTGGGGAAAATGGGGAAAAAATGGGGAAAAGAGGGGGAAAAATGGGGAAAAATGGGGAAAAATGGGGAAAAATGGGGAAAAATGGGGAAAAATGGGGAAAAATGGGGAAAAATGGGGAAAAATGGGGAAAAATGGGGAAAAATGGGGAAAAATGGGGAAAAATGGGGAAAAATGGGGAAAAATGGGGAAAAATGGGGAAAAATGGGGAAAAATGGGGAAAAATGGGGAAAAATGGGGAAAAATGGGGAAAAATGGGGAAAAATGGGGAAAAATGGGGAAAAATGGGGAAAAATGGGGAAAAATGGGGAAAAATGGGGAAAAATGGGGAAAAATGGGGAAAAATGGGGAAAAATGGGGAAAAATGAGGAAAAAATGGGGCTAAAAAGGGAAAAATTGGGGAAAATGTGGGGAAAATGGGGAAAAAATGGAGAAAAATGGGGAAAAAATGAGAAAAAATGGCAAAAAATGGGGGGGGGGGAAATGGGGAATTTTGGGGGGAAAATGGGAATTTTGGGGAGATTTAGGGGGAAAATGGGGAAAAATGGGAATTTTGGGGGAAAAAACGGGAATTTTTGGGGAAAAATGGGAATTTTGGGGGAAAAACCAGAATTTTGGGGAGATTTAGGGGGAAAATGGGGAAAAATGGGAATTTTGGGGGAAAAAACGGGAATTTTTGGGGAAAAATGGGAATTTTGGGGGAAAAACCAGAATTTTGGGGAGATTTAGGGGGAAAATGGGGAAAAATGGGAATTTTGGGGGAAAAAACGGGAATTTTTGGGGAAAAATGGGAATTTTGGGGGAAAAACCAGAATTTTGGGGAGATTTAGGGGGAAAATGGGGAAAAATGGGAATTTTGGGGGAAAAAACGGGAATTTTTGGGGAAAAATGGGAATTTTGGGGGAAAAACCAGAATTTTGGGGAGATTTAGGGGGAAAATGGGGAAAAATGGGAATTTTGGGGGAAAAAACGGGAATTTTTGGGGAAAAATGGGAATTTTGGGGGAAAAACCAGAATTTTGGGGAGATTTAGGGGGAAAATGGGGAAAAATGGGAATTTTGGGGGAAAAAACGGGAATTTTAGGGGCAAATGGAGGGGAAATGGGGAAAATCTAGAAAAAATGGACAAAAATGGGGTAAAAATGGGGCTAAAATGGTAAAAATTGGGAAAAATGGTGAAAAAATGGTGAAATTGGGGTGAAAAATGGGGGTTTTGGGGGTTTTGGGGTACCTGGGCACAGCTGGGAGGGAAAATGGGGAAAAATCCTGAAAAAATGGGAAAAATGGGGGAAAATGGGGAAATTTGGGTGGAAAATGGGGAAAATGAGGAAAAAATTGGGGAAAGTGGGGGGGAAAGGGGAAAAATGGGGAGAAATGGTGAAAAAATGGTGAAATTTGGGTTAAAAATGTGGGAAAATGGGAAATTTTTTATGAAAAACAGTGAAAAATGGAGAAAGGGGGGGAAATGGTGAAAAAATGGGGAAATTTGAGTTAAAAATGGGGAAATGGGGAAAATTTGGGTTATAAGGGGGAAAATGGGAAAATTTGGGGAAAAATGAGGCTAAAATGGGGAAAACTTGGGAATTTTGGGAAAATTTTGGAAAATCCCTGGAAAGTTTATGGAAAAAAAAGATAAAACTGAGGGAAAATCGGAATATTTGAGGCAAAAAAGGAAAATTTTGGGGGATAAACGTCAAAATTTGGGAAAAAAAAGGAGGAAAAATAAAAAATAGTGGAAAATTTGGGTAAAAAAAGGGGATTTTGGGGCAAAAATGTAGAATTTTGGGACAAAAATGTGGAATTTTGGGGGGAAAATGTGGAATTTTGGGGGGAAAATGTGGAATTTTGGGGGAAAAAATGTGGAATTTTGGGGCAAAAATGTGGAATTTTGGGGGGAAAATGTGGAATTTTGGGGGGAAATGTGGAATTTTTTGGGGCAAAAATGTGGAATTTTGAGGACAAAAATGTGGAATTTTCGGGGAAAAAATGTGGAATTTTGGGCAAAAATGTGGAATTTTGGGGGGAAAATGTGGAATTTTGGGGCAAAAAATGTGGAAATTTGGGACAAAAATGTGGAAATTTGGGTAAAAAATGTGGAATTTTGTGGGCAAAGATGTGGAATTTTGGGGCAAAAATGTGGAATTTTGGGCAAAAATGTGGAATTTTTGGGGAAAAAATGTGGAATTTTGGGCAAAAATGTGGAATTTTGGGGCATAGATGTGGAATTTTTGGGGGGAAAATATGGAATTTTGGGGGGAAAAAATGTGGAATTTTGGGCAAAAATGTGGAATTTTGGGGGAAAATGTGGAATTTTGGGCAACAATGTGGAATTTTGGGGGGAAAATGTGGAATTTTGGGACAAAAATGTGGAATTTTGGGGGGAAAATGTGGAATTTTGGGGCAAAAATGTGGAATTTTGGGGGAAAAAATGTGGAATTTTGGGGGGAAAATGGGGAATTTTGGGACAAAAATGTGGAATTTTGAGGACAAAAAAGTGGAATTTTGGTCAAAAATGTGGAATTTTGGGGGAAAAAATGTGGAATTTTGGGCAAAAATGTGGAATTTTGGGGGAAAAAAGTGGAATTTTGGGCAAAAATGTGGAATTTTGGGGGAAAAAATGTGGAATTTTGGGCAAAAATGTGGAATTTTGGGGGAAAAAAGTGGAATTTTGGGCAAAAATGTGGAATTTTGGGGGAAAAAATGTGGAATTTTGGGCAAAAATGTGGAATTTTGAGGACAAAAATGTGGAATTTTCGGGGAAAAAATGTGGAATTGGGGGGAAAAGATGTGAATTTTGGGGGAAAAAATGTGGAATTTTGGGCAAAAATGTGGAATTTTGGGGGAAAAAATGTGGAATTTTGGGCAAAAATGTGGAATTTTGGGGGAAAAATGTGGAATTTCGGGGGAAAAAATGTGGAATTTTGGGACAAAAATGTGGAAATTTGGGGCAAAAATGTGGAATTTTGGCGGGAAAAAGGCGGGAAACTTTGGGAATTGTTGGGATTTGTTGGGATTTGGGTAATTTTGGGGATTTTTGGGGATTTTTGGGGATTTCCCTGCAGACTTTCGGGGAGCGGGTGCTGGGCCCCCTGGCCTGGGTGATGCCCCTGGCCGTGGCTCTCTCCACCTTCGGCGGCGTCAACGGCTCCCTCTTCACCTGCTCCAGGTGAGAAACCCCAAAATTCCCAAATTTCCCCCAATTCCCAAAATCCCCGGAATTTTCCCCAAAATTCCCCATTTTCCCTCAAAATTCCCCCAAAATTTCCCACTTTCCCTCCAAATTTCCCCAAAATTTCCCCAAAATTTCCCTCAAAATTCCCCCAAAATTTCCCATTTTCCCTCGAAATTTCCCCAAAATTCCCCATTTTCCCTCCAAATTTCCCCAAAATTTCCCTCGAAATTTCCCCAAAATTTCCCATTTTCCCTCGAAATTTCCCCAAAATTTCCCGTTTTCCCTCCAAATTTCCCCAAAATTTCCCATTTTCCCTCCAAATTTCCCCAAAATTTCCCACTTTCCCTCGAAATTTCCCCAAAATTTCCCATTTTCCCTCCAAATTTCCCCAAAATTTCCCATTTTCCCTCCGAATTTCCCCAAAATTCCCCATTTTCATTCCAAAACCCCCGTTTTCCCCCCATTTCCTCCCCCCCCATGACGTCACCGCCCCGCGATGACGTCACCGCCCGCCCCGATGACGTCACCGGCGCGGCCCCGCCCCCTTGGATGACGTCACCAGGCTGTTCTACGCGGGCGCCAGGGAGGGGCAGCTGCCGGCGCTGCTGGCCATGATCCACCTGCGGCGCCACACGCCCGTGCCCGCCCTGCTCGTCACCGTGAGAGCCCGAAATGGGGGCAAAAAACGCGATTTTGGGAAAAAACGGGGAGAAACAAAAAAAAAATGGGGAAACCTCTAAACCCCGCCCCCTTCCCTCTAAACCACGCCCCTTCCTCCTCAAGCCACGCCCACTCTATGTCTTTAACCACACCCCTTCTGTTGTTGAGCCACGCCCATTTTCTGCCTCAAGCCACACCCCTTTGGCGGTTAGACACGCCCCTTTCTCGCCCAAGCCACGCCCCCCATTCATAAACTCGCTGGCGTTGGCGCCCCCTAATGGATTCCCGCGCTGCCCATTCATAAAAAAAGTTTGCTGCAAACACTATGAAATTCCCACGCTCCCCATTGATAAAAAAATTTATTACAAACGACCCCTGATGGATTCCCACGCTCCCCATTCATAAAAAAGTTTACTACAATCATCCCTATAAAATTCCCGTGCTCCCCATTCATAAAAACAAGGAGTACAAACGGCCAGTAAGGAATTCCCACGCTCCCCATTCATAAAAATTGTTGCTATGAATGCTCCCGGCAATATTCCCATGCTCCCCATTCATAAAAATCCTTACTACAAAACTCCCTGTAGAATTCCCGCTCTCCCCATTCATAAAAATAATGACTACAAACGCCCCTTATAAAATTCCCACGCTCCCCATTCATAAAAAACCTTACTACAACCCCCCCGTAATGAATTCCCACGCTCTCCATTCATAAAAACAATCATTACAAACCCCCCCGACAAAATTCCCACGCTCCCCATTCACAAAAAAAACTCACTACAAACACCCCTTACAATATTCCCACTCCTCCCATTCGTAAAAACAACTTCTAGAAACACTCCCAGTAGAATTCCCACACTTCCCATTCACAAATAACCTCACTAGAAACACCCCTTATAAAATTCCCACGCTCCCCATTCATAAAAAACCTCACTACAACCCCCAGTAATGAATTCCCACTCTCCCCATTCACAAAAAACCTTACTACCAACCCCTTTATAAAATTCCCACGCTCCCCATTCA